CCGCCGCCTCCCCTCGCTGCCCGCCCGCCCCGGGGACCCTCCGCCCCGCTCCCGCTCCCGCACAAAGGCTGCGGCCCCGCCGCCGCCCGCGCAGGAAGTCCCGTCGCCGGGCGCGGCCTCGGCTCCGCACCGCACCGCACCCCTCCGCGCCGCTCCGCACGGCCTGCCCTCCGCTCCGCACCCCTCCGCTCCGCTCCGTACGGCCTGCCCTCCTCTCCGCACCCCTCCGCTCCGCTCCGCACGGCCTGCCCACCCCTCCGCGCCGCTCCGCACGGCCTGCCCTCCGCTCCGCACCCCTCCGCGCTACTCCGCACGGCCTCCCCTCGGCTCCGCACCCTTCCGCGCCGCTCCGCACGGCCTGCCCGCCGGCTCCCCTCCGCTCCGCACCTCTCCGCGCCGCTCCGCTCCGCACGGCCTGCCCGCCCCACGCCCCCCCGCTGAGCGCAGGCCGTCCAGGGAGGGGGGGCTGGCCTCGAGAGCTGGCCTGGCCATGAAGGACAATAGCCTGGTCACAAAGGTTGGGCTGGCCCTGAAGGATAGCGGCTGGGCATCCGTGAAGGATGGGCTGACCTTACAAGGTGGCCTGGGCATGAAGGACAACCTGGCCATGAAGGATGTGCCTCGCCACAGAGGACAGCCTGGCTGTGAAAAGTGGCCCGACCATGAAGGACAATCTGGCCATGAAGGACAATCTGGACATAAAGGACAACAGCCTGGTCACGAAGGTTGCACTTCCCATCAAAGATGGCCTGGCCATGAAGGATGGTGGCCTGGCCACAAAGGACAACCTGGCCATGAAGGATGTGCCTCCCTACAAAGGACAACCTGGGCATGAAAGGTGGCCTGACCATGAAGAATGGTGGCCTGGCCATAAATGGACCATGAGGGACAACAGCCTGGTCACAAAGGTGGGCTGGCCATGAAGGATGATGGACTCACCAGGAAGGACAGGCTGCTGAGTGGAAGCAGAAGCGTGGCAGCCCCGCTGCACCCCAACCCTGCTGCACCCCACAGCTCGGGAGGGCTGGGAAGGACGGCTTGGCCACCGCGATCACTTGGGTATGGAAAGTGAGGGCACCACACCCAGGAGCACCTCTCTACGAGGCTGGTGAGGAGCGTGGTCAGAGCTGGGACCTGGCCACTGGGCAGCACCTTTGCCGTGGGGCAGGGAAGGCTCCAGCCCAGCTCAGTCCCCTCTGCTCCCGGGGACTCACCCTCCCCGTTCACCCCCAATAACGGGGGAATGAGGACCCCAGGGTTCACAGTCACAGCAGGAGCAGCACAACAAGAGAGTGAGCTCCTTGCTGGTAACTACGAGGCCATTTTAAAAGGACAATTTGAATTAGTTCTGCAGTTTATAGCACTTTAAGTGTGATCAGTCAAGAAGAAGACCCTGACGACCCTTTTGGTTTGGTGCGTGTTCATTGCGGGCACCAGAGCAGCACCCAAACATGTAAAGACAGCAAGTACAATGTGAACACAATATAAATACACATTAGCTAATACAAACAAACACTAAAAATGATACAGCAGCGGTACACAAACTGCTGGCTTCCTGCCATTGCAGCACCGAGTTAAAACCCGAGGGGAACGGTGATGCAAATAACGTGTTACACGTGGAAGTGCCCGCACGGTGACACCCCCACCCCCGGGGCCGTGGGGGCCGAGCCCGGTGCCTCGGGCCGGGTCTCTCTGCCTTTCCCCCCAATCCACCCCCCGCCCGCGGCCGCCCCTCGGCTTCTCTCAGCTTTGCATCGCTTTAGACCCCCGCGGGATTCGAGGAACGGGTCCCGCTCCTGCTGGCGGCCGCCGTACCTGCTGGAACTACGCCCGGCCTCCGCGGGGCTTTGCTGTGAGGCCTGGGGCGGCGGAGGCGCGGCGGGGTCGGGAACGTCCCCTCAGAGTGCCGGGCACACGGCGGGACGGGGCCCGTGCCCGCTCCGCGCTGCCCGTGCCCGCCACCCGCTGGGCACGCCTCCGCCTCGCCGTAAAGCGCCCGCCGTCAAGCGCTCTCCCGCCGTCGTAAAAGCCTCGCGCGTCCTTAGCAACGCCGCCGCACTTCCGTAGCGACAGACCGGAGCATGGCGGCGGCCGGCGCGGCCGAGGTGGCGCAGGCCCTGAGCCGGCCCCTGAGCTGCTTGCAGGATCCCGGCGGCGGGCGGGCGGCGCGGCTGCGGGCGCTGGAGACCATCCGGGCCGAGGTGCAGGAGCGGCCGCTCTCGGGCGCCGCGGTGCAGGAGGTTTTCGGGGGGCAGCTGGTGCGGCCGCTGGCGCGCTGCCTGGCGGGGGACGCGGCGGAGCGGTGCCGGGAGCTCGCCCTCCAGCTCCTCCGCCACGGGCTCAGCCACGGCGACCGGCCCGGCGAGGCGCTGCCCGTCCTCCTGCCGGCGCTGGCCCAGCGCCTCTGCCCGCCGCAGGGCGCCGAACCCAGCGAGGAGCTGCGGCTCGGCCTGGTCCAGCTCCTGAGCCTGCTGCTGCAGCGCTGCGGGGCCGCCATGGTCCCCTACCTCACCGAGGTTATCCGCATCCTCCAGGCCACCCTCCTCGACCAGTATGCCGAGGTCCGGCGAGAGAGTTGCAGGTGCGCCGTGGCCTGCGCCCAGGCCATGCCAGGTGGGGCCTGGGGATGGGCGGGGGGGGAGCGGTGGGCTGATGTGAGCCTGCACCGCCTGGGGGGGACGGGGGCTGAGGTGGGGACCGGTAGGAGGTTACTGGGATGCAACTGGGAGCGAGGAAGAGAGGTGAGAAGGTGCACACACCCTCAGAGGTGCACCTCGCAGGCCTTGGAGCATCTTTTGGAGAAGAACCATGCCAGGGATGGATGCTGTGAGCAACCTGGTCTGGTGGGAGGTGTCCCTGCCCATGGCAGGGGGGTGGAACTAGGTGGTTGTTAAGGTCCCTTCCTGAACCATGCAGTGCTGAGCAGTTACAGCATGGGGGTAATAGTGGGAGGAGGGGGCCAGGGGAGTGTGTGTGTGTGTGCTGGTGTTCAGCTCTAATGCAGTATAAAGTTAAATCTGTGTGCTACATAAATGCAGCGACATTTATCAGGCTGCTGTTCAAAGCACTAACAGAAATCATGTCACTCAAGTTCTGTCACCCACATAGAGAAAGGCACGTTTGAAGTTTCTGTCTCTCTCCCCTAACAGAGCACTTCCATATGCAGTCAGAATCTCTGATAAAACCCTTAATGCAAACAATTTCACACCAGCACTACAGAGTTCGTGTTGATGTAATTCAGGCTACTGGAGCAGTGATACAGTTTGGAAATGGAAAGTCTGTGGATGATGTTCTGTCTCATCTGGCCCAGAGATTATTTGATGAGATTCCCAAGGTGTGCTTTTTCTTCTTTTCTTCTTTCTTTTTTTTCTCATTTTATTTTGAATCTGTTTTGGGGTGGGATTTTTTGTGTTCCTTCCCCTCTCAATTTTCAGCTTTCATTCATTCAGTTAAGACATGTAATACAGTAAGATACAGCAGGATACATCACATCCAGGCTTTGTGGGTTGTAAGCTATCCAAACCCAAGGCTGGTGACCTGCTCAGCTGCTAAGTCTGCTGGCTGTTGAAGTGTGTAAGCACCTTTTTCTTCTAATGGGTGCCTTCAATTCTGTCATAAATTCTTCTGACAGATTTCTCTGGGACTTGATTCTGTGGCCTTTTCAGATGCTTAACAAACACTTATTGGTCCCCTTGTAAGATGTAATTGAGACGGTAATTTTAAAATGTGCAACTTAATCATAATTAAAATATTTTAATTTTTGAGTGGATGCATTCTCATCATTTAACTTAGACTTCCTGTGTAGTGAACAGAGAAAATTGTCCCCTTGAGGTGTGCTTTGAAAGCTTCAAATTCCAGAGAAATGTACATTTCTTATGTTCTCAGAGAGATATTAAAAATTAAGAGTTCTGAGTTAGGTCTGTATCTTGTTTTCCTCTCGGAGAAGCACTTTGTGCAGCAAATAGTCTAGGACAGACGAAGCCAGAGCGAGAACACAAGAGGGAGCGTGATACCTTGGGTGTTACTTAAGATGCTTGCTGTGAGTGAGGAAATCCTGGCTTCTTGTAATTTCCTCTGAAATTATTGATGTACTTTACCAAGTCTTGTGTACCAAAAGCAAATACTACTTTTTTTTTTTTTTCTGGTATTTTCCTGACACATTTTAAATAGTCTTTTTGTATCCGTGTAGGTCCGGCACGCTGTTACAGCTGTCATTGGAGAATGGCTGTTACACCTACGAGACAGATATTCGTATTTTCACAAGTTGATCCCTTTGTTACTCGGCAGTTTTACTGATGAAATTCCTGAAAATACGTGAGTAGAACATTTTTTACTTTTTTTCCCCCCTAAGTTGTACATGAAAATGTTTCTCTGTTCACAGATGTATTGCTCAGAGGAGAAAAAAAAACACTTTTTTTTTTCTTAAACAGAAACTGATAGCATTATCTCCAGTAATTTTAGTTATATTGTTCTTTTATGCTATATTCAAGTAAATATGAGAGAGATGAAGCCAGAGAGGTAGACAGAGACAGAATTATGCTTTGGAAGAGGTGAGTCCTCTGTACTCTCTCTACAGAGTACAAAAGAGGCATGAGCTCTCAACTTACTGTGTGTAGGTTCAACAGCAGGAACGCCTGCCATCCTTCCAGATGAATTTAAGAAGTCAGAGTTTCCAGAAGTCTTCCTTTAAAATGCTTTCCTTTTTGGGGGCATGATGGTCTAAAACTCTTATTTTATGGCTAGGAAACTGGCTTGGACTTACTGGGAGAAGATAGGCCTGCAGTGGGAGAAAGAGAATGAGGAAGATCTGAAGGATAAGATGGATTTTGGCATTTCACCATCTCATTATCCCCAAGGAGGTAAGTGTTGGACTAAAAGTGCTTTTCACTTCCTGAATGATCCTCAAGAGCTGCAGTGCAGTAATGGGAGCAGAGTGGGATGTGTAACATTCATCACAAGATTTAATGTTAGTTAACTTATAGAGGTAGTGTATATATATAAAAATATAGTATATGGCGTTATCCCCAAGGAGGTAAGTGTTGGACTAAATGTGCTTTTCACTTCCTGAATGATCCCCAAGAGCTGCAGTGCCGTAATGGGAGCAGAACAGGGTGTGCAACATTCATCACAAGATTTAATGTTAACATATAGAGGTATTGTATATATATAAAAATATAGTATATGGCATGTATGTATATTAAATTATTTATGTTACATTTAAATTTTTAAAAAAATTATATTAAATTATTTATGTTACATTTAAATTAAAAAAAAAAAAGTTGGTTCAGTGACTACATTCAGTTTTTCCATTAATCCCAAAATGCAATTTGGAGAAAAAGTAAGTGAAGATACCCATGCAGGAGGAGAGAGGCAGCAGTGATGCAGAAGCAGCAGGCGGGTGGGGAATGGGCAAAGGGGTGAGAGCAGGGGAAGGCAGGATGAAAGAATCTGGGAGCTGAGTCCTTAAATAATGAGAACTAGACACAGCATTAGTGATCCGCAGAGTTAGTGTGGAATTAAAATTCGGAATGCAATGATTTTGGAGTTCTTTATGAGACACTGAGGTGCTGACTAAAATCTGCCAGCAGACACAAAGAACACGGGAACAGAAACAATAATTTCCTTTATTGTGTACAAAAGCCCAGGATATGCAGCACAGATATATTACTTCTCAGTACCGTATGATTTATAGGTGGCTTTAAAATGATACGTTTGCAGTAGCTTGAAGCTTGTTTCCTGTCTCAGGTTCAAAAAGTTAATGTTTAAAAATATGCATATAGGGCTTGGTGAGAGAGGGTTTGAATGGGCTTATTGATTTTTGTACTCATATTTAACAGGACACAAACTCTTTGGGTGTGAAAGAACAGGTTCATGCTTGACTTGTGCCTCCCTGACAATCCCATCACAGAATACCCAGCAGCAAAATCCTTTCTGTGACAGTGGGTTCCGGAGTCTTTTCTCCTTTGAAATTAGACTTTTTTTTTTTTTTTCTTTTAAAGTTGCTTTCCTCAGTAATGCTTGACTGAAAGGGGAAGCACTTCATAATGGTGACTGGTTTGACAGAACTGTTTAGCTTTGAAGACAGTCAAGTTGATCTGTTATCCTTTCTAATTCTTTTTTTCCCCCTTTATTTTATGTATTATATTACCTCAGGGGGTTGTAAATAGTAAAGAATGCTTTTACTTCCAGTAGTGATGGCAGAAACATATTCCTTTTTTTGACAGAGAATTTTTTAATGTATATAAACTGTCAGAGTGGAGTGTCTCAGCTCCAGTCACTTATTTTGTGACCGTGATGTAGTGAAGGGCACTGAAGGCTTTATGTACTCACCCTTGAAACAGTTGTTAATATTTATGTTGCTCATTCTGTGACCTCCTTCAGTTTTCTCTGGGTGTGTGTTGGGTTTTGTGTGTGTTACTGTGTGGGGACTGGTTTTTTAGGAAGGAACATCGATCAGTGACTTCATAAATTAAATAAATAAACTTCACAAATTTGGGCCACACTCCCACCCTGCTACAGATACAAAACCTTGTCAAAGACAGCAATATTCCTTAGTTTCAACTAATAATTTGTGGTGTCTTCCCACAGACCAGGAGTTGTTATTATGTCTGTCCTTCCCCCAGGTTTCCCCTCCACACGCACACGTGTATTTTGTTTATAATATTCTGTCCTTCCCCCAGGTTTCCCCTCCACACACATTAGTATTTTGTTTATAATACGATAATGATGTATTTTAACACTTTGTTGCTCTTGCTTCTGATTTACTAAACACCCTGGAATATCTGTTTACAACTATGAGTTTACAGTATATGTTTTACTGAACTGTCCCTGTCCAGCTGTCAGGCTGATGAGCCCGAGCTCTGAGCCTCCCCGCGCTTTGATCTGGGGTCAGGGGGAGAGCAGGGTCCTGTCTCCTGGCTTTTTGTGGAGCAGCAGCAGCAGCCCTTGCCTTGTGGTATGGAGAGTTTACAGCAGTCTCCTGGCTTTTTGTGGAGCAGCAGCAGCCCTTGCCTTGGGGTACGGAGAGTTTACAGCCGGGGAGGCTTTGACAGGAGTAGCTGCAGGGGGAAATGCCTGTTTGAACATCTGAAACGAAGGAACTGCTGATAAAGAATGGTCCCCATTCTTTAAACAAAACTCGGCCTCGGGACGGATAGGATGCCAGTCTGTATTTGCTGTCTCAAGTTGATTTCTTTATTTGACCTTTTGCTATTCATTGTCAGTTTTCATAATCCCAAATGTTATCCTCCATTGACAAAAGAAGCAGCAATTCATGTCCTGATGCTTGAAAATTTTGTTGTTTTTTTTTTTTTCCTACTCTATAAGCCTTTCTATAAGCCTTTTGTGTTCTTCAGGCCATTTGCTTTAGTCTGTTCTCCTTTTAGCATTTGTAGTTACACAAACCAATGCAGGAAAATACACTGAGACAACTAAGTCTTTGCCTTTTTAAGCATTTACCAGAGAACTCTGTACCGGAAATAAAACATTCAATGTTTTTTGACACCTTATAACGATGTTTCTTTCTCAAAACAGTGTGTGAACTTTTTAAGCATTTACCAGAGAACTCTGTACTGGAAATAAAATATTCAATGTTTTTTGACGCCTTATAACAAATAATGTTTCTTTCTCAAAACAGTGTGTGATCATTGGGAGTGACAATAATAAATCCTGTTCTTAGAGAACAACTTCTCAGTTTTTGCCTGTAGAAGCATGTACAGTGTAAAGGGAAAAAGCATTCTCCTGTAGAAAAGGCCACTAAAAAAGTTCATTGCAGTTGTTTGGAAAGTGCTGTTGTAGCTTTGTGTAAAGTATGAAAGTGGAGGCTTGATGGTCGCTTGTGATATTGGTCAAGTTTCTTCTCTGAGTCTCAGTGATTTATCAATGAGCTAAAATGTAAAGTTGGTGGTTACCAGACAGGACAGGAAACATTTGTTGGGGAAGTTTATTAGCTCCCTAGAAATCTACATCCTCTACTGAGGCAGGGAATAAGTATCTGCAACACTTTGGGGGTTTGTTCACAAACAAAAAATAGCAACAACAAAACCCCACTTCCCACAGAATCCTTATGAATGAAATTTACTGTGGGAATTCCCACAGCTCCTGGATAATCAATCTTTCACTTCCTTTTGAAATGTGTTATTTCATATAAAAATCAGATAGGGATTGAAGAGACATATCAGAGTGAGACACTTTTCCTGAAAAGGCCTGAGAACAGCTGTGGTTTTTAAAATGATGTCAGTTTTATCTGCTTGGCCCATTACACAGCACACGTACCAGCCGTGGTACCCTCCCGGTGTTTGATTTCCTGGATACACTTCTCACCTCTGCCTTTAGAGGACACAATGGACATTGTCTGTTTTACTGCAGATCATACCCCCTGCACTATCTGTGACTTCTACCTTTCCTTCTCCCTCCAAATTACGTTTAACTCAGTGATACCACAACATTTTGCGTGCAAAAGTCTTTCTACCGTTTTATCTCTGTGTGTTTCAGTTTATTTTTTTAATGGAATTTGTGTTAATAATGGAAATGATTAAGCTGTGTTTTCCAAAATGGATAATGCCCCATCCTTATAAAGTTTCATATCCATAAAGTCCTCTCTCTCTTCCCCTTCTATAAAGATTTTAAAAGATAAAATCTGGATGACCATCCACTAATAAATACATACATTTTCAGAGAGCTGTGTGGAGTTTAAATTCTGCAATAAATATTAAAGAAATGCAGCTTGTGCAGGTAAATTCCTCAGCAGCATTTGGAATGTGTTGTTCCTCACTAGAGCAGACACTGAGCTCTTGTCTCGGAGCCTTGAAACTTCTCAAAGTATTGATACGCTTTGGCTTTTCCTTTCATTTTTCCTTTTTTTTTAAGCTGTTTTTGGCTTGTTTGTTTTCTTCTAGTAACTCGACCAGGACTTGGTTGTCGGGAACTCGTGTCAAGAAATCTCTCCAAGATTCTGCCAGGTCTCTGTCACGATATAACGGACTGGGTTGAAAGCACAAGAGTGAAAGCATCACAGCTCCTGTACACGTTACTGCTCCACGCGGAGGATCACGTCACACAGCACATGGAGCTGCTGCTTAGAACTCTGTACCAAGCCTGTCTGGATGAAGAAAGTGACGTGGTTAAAAATGTGAGTTTGCTCTGTTACAGTGTCTACCCTGTGCTGAGTAAAGGCCTGATCCTTTATAGTCTGGAGTCTCTGAGGGCTGACCTACCTGTGGGTCACTGCGAACTGCACGGGACTGAAGGATCAGGCTTAGGATTTTATGGATGTTAAAAACACATAAACGTGTTGCATACACACTGTTAAAATAAATGTATTCTTGTATTACTGGTATGAAGACCAGTAACAAAGTTATTTAAATACCCTTTAGTTGATACACCGACCTCATGAAGCATTGATAATGATCTCTTTAAAAATCATAAGCAGTGGATTATGGTATAAAAGCCTTGGGGCAACAAATTCCATTGGAAAAAAATGTGCAGGTCATGCCCTTTCAAGTTAATTTACTGATCTCTCCCTGCTGCATAATCCAGCTGTAATTCCAGCCGAGCACTGAGGTGTGGTTATTCCACACCATCCCCATAGTCAGTGTTTACTTGATGCTTGTAAAATGGCTTTTTTTTTTCCTCCCATGTTTATTTGTCAGGAATAACAAGTATCCTTTCTCCTAACAGCTGATGCCCTCAGCGCTTTGATACACAATATCCTGGATACACTTCTCACCTCTGCCTTTAGAGGACACAATGGACATTGTCTGTTTTACTGCAGATCATACCCCCTGCACTATCTGTGACTTCTACCTTTCCTTCTCCCTCCAAATTACGTTTAACTCAGTGATACCACAACATTTTGCGTGCAAAAGTCTTTCTACCGTTTTATCTCTGTGTGTTTCAGTTTATTTTTTTAATGGAATTTGTGTTAATAATGGAAATGATTAAGCTGTGTTTTCCAAAATGGATAATGCCCCATCCTTATAAAGTTTCATATCCATAAAGTCCTCTCTCTCTTCCCCTTCTATAAAGATTTTAAAAGATAAAATCTGGATGACCATCCACTAATAAATACATACATTTTCAGAGAGCTGTGTGGAGTTTAAATTCTGCAATAAATATTAAAGAAATGCAGCTTGTGCAGGTAAATTCCTCAGCAGCATTTGGAATGTGTTGTTCCTCACTAAAGCAGACACTGAGCTCTTGTCTCGGAGCCTTGAAACTTCTCAAAGTATTGATACGCTTTGGCTTTTCCTTTCATTTTTCCTTTTTTTTTAAGCTGTTTTTGGCTTGTTTGTTTTCTTCTAGTAACTCGACCAGGACTTGGTTGTCGGGAACTCGTGTCAAGAAATCTCTCCAAGATTCTGCCAGGTCTCTGTCACGATATAACGGACTGGGTTGAAAGCACAAGAGTGAAAGCATCACAGCTCCTGTACACGTTACTGCTCCACGCGGAGGATCACGTCACACAGCACATGGAGCTGCTGCTTAGAACTCTGTACCAAGCCTGTCTGGATGAAGAAAGTGACGTGGTTAAAAATGTGAGTTTGCTCTGTTACAGTGTCTACCCTGTGCTGAGTAAAGGCCTGATCCTTTATAGTCTGGAGTCTCTGAGGGCTGACCTACCTGTGGGTCACTGCGAACTGCACGGGACTGAAGGATCAGGCTTAGGATTTTATGGATGTTAAAAACACATAAACGTGTTGCATACACACTGTTAAAATAAATGTATTCTTGTATTACTGGTATGAAGACCAGTAACAAAGTTATTTAAATACCCTTTAGTTGATACACCGACCCCATGAAGCATTGATAATGATCTCTTTAAAAATCATAAGCAGTGGATTATGGTATAAAAGCCTTGGGGCAACAAATTCCATTGGAAAAAAATGTGCAGGTCATGCCCTTTCAAGTTAATTTACTGATCTCTCCCTGCTGCATAATCCAGCTGTAATTCCAGCCGAGCACTGAGGTGTGGTTATTCCACGCCATCCCCATAGTCAGTGTTTACTTGATGCTTGTAAAATGGCTTTTTTTTTTCCTCCCATGTTTATTTGTCAGGAATAACAAGTATCCTTTCTCCTAACAGCTGATGCCCTCAGCGCTTTGATACACAATATCAATAAACACATGTAGTTGAAGACATTAGATACATTTAGCAGGGTATAGACAGGTCATACAAACTTTTTACAATTTTAAGAGAAAATCTTCTGTTTACATTTCTACACTATAAATAGGCTTGTTTCAAAAAGGAATGTATGGGCCTTAAGAAGTCAGCACCCCAGGGTTGAAGTAGGAGATACGCTGCTCTGGAACTTTTCAAGTTCCTTGGGGCTTGTATGAAATATATAAGAAAACTTGAAACAATTCAAAGTGATGTTCCTTCCTTGGGGGAAGGATCTCTTGGGGAGGGACTCTTGATCAGGGAGGGGAGCCATAGGAGGAGGAGGAACGATTTTAAACTGAAAGAGGGGAGATGGAGCTGAGATGTGGGGAAGAACTTGTTTGGTGTGAGGGTGGTGAGAGCCTGGCCCAGGTTGCCCAGAGAAGCTGTGGCTGCCCCATCCCTGGAGGGGTTCAAGGCCAGGTTGGAGGGGGCTCGGAGCAACCTGCTCTGGTGGGAGGTGTCCCTGCCCAGGGCAGGGGGTGGCACTGGGGGGGCTTTAAGGTCCCTTCCAACCCAAACCATCCTGTGACTCTATGATCTCCTCTGCCAGTTGTTGCTTTAGAGCTCGTTTCAGAGCAACCACCAGCTTGGAAAATGTGCAGGTCTTTCCTGATAATTCCAAAAGAGATGTGTAAGATCAGAAGAACAACTGGTCTCTTATCCTGTTTTGTTTTTTTTTTTAATTTTCCCCTGTTAAAATGAATAGACAAATTGATACAAATGCATCAATTCATATTTTCAAACTGTTTAATTGTATTGTCCTTTTCCAGTTTTCAGAGCTGGGTTTCAGATGGGATTGAGGAGCATGAGTATGATGTGGAATACATAGTAATTTAAGGCTTTTCAGTTAAATAATAAGAGACTGAAAGCAGTGGGCAGTTCCCCCATGGCAGCGCTTCCACACTGAACCAGAACTGTAATGTCAGCGTCAAAATACAGCACAATAACAACAAAAATTCCTCTTCCAGGGTTTTACTGTTGTTGCTTTTAATAGAGGGATGGTGGGTGCATTGAGAGCATTCCTCAGAACAGCCTTTGGAGGACAAAGCACTAAACCACTAAATCTGCAACATCTGGTTTTTCTAAGCTGGAGACTTTATTGGGCTGGAAGTTGTGTGCTTCATTGCTGCACGTTACTTTCTCATGGAGGTCGAGGAGAGGGTTCACACGCCTCGTTATGTGCTTACTGAGTGTATGGCAAGGACACTTCTTCATGCATATTATAATCATTACTGAGTGAGTGGAAAAGGCCTGCGAGGCAACTGCTGGAGCATTTAAAATAACAGCTGGAACAATAAAAATAAAAAGCCCATGATATGTTGAATGGTCTCTGTGTTTTCAGGAAAATCCTCGAGTTGTCCCTGTGGTTTTTTCCAGTGTGTGAGAGCAGCAGAGTTGATTGGAACGTTTGTCAGCCCCAAGGTGTGGCTGAGATTAATCACATCGGCCTGTGGGACAACACCAAAGCCATCCTCTGTGATGGTCCTGAGTGCAGTGATTCGGGGCAGCCCACGGGAGATCTTACAGCCTCATTTGACCCATCTTGGCAACACACTGTCACAAGCTGAAGTTTGTCACGGCTCAGGAGAGGTAAGGACAACTGGGAAAGGCTGCAGTCTTACCCTGGTGGTTCTCAGACTTGTTCTCCCTAAACACTCCCATTCCTCTCCCTCCCTTGCACACCCACCCCACGCTGCCCAGGGGTAGCTGTGGTCGTGTGATGCAGGAATTAACCTTCATCTCACAAAGCCTGTGACGATGAGGAACTTGTGTAACTGGAAGCGCTATAATCTGATTGTTCAGATACCCCTTCCCTGAAGCATGTCTGCAGAATTGCCATGAGGCATTAACCTTAACACCTCAGGGACATGAGATGCAGCAGATACCTTCACCTCCAGCTGAAGCCTTGGGAGGAATTGTACCAGCCTTTGGTCTTGGAAAAAAAGCCTTCACTATTTTCGGCAGTGAATGCTGCACAGACACTGTTTAGCTGAGGATGGACTGTGTCCAGGAGATTAATAACATTAATAGCTGACCTGTTCCTACTTCTGGTTTATTTTTGGGAAGTAAATTTGTAACAATGGCCCATTCTCTTCCTTGAATGTCATCTGATGGCTTCATTCAGATACCCCTTCCCTGAAGCATGTCTGCAAAATTGCCATGAGGCATTAACCTTAACACTTCCAGGGGCCATGAGATGCAGCAGATACCTTCACCTCCAGCTGAAGCCTTGGGAGGAATTGTACCAGCCTTTGGTCTTGGAAAAAAAGCCTTCACTATTTTCGGCAGTGAATGCTGCACAGACACTGTTTAGCTGAGGATGGACTGTGTCCAGGAGATTAATAACATTAATAGCTGACCTGTTCCTACTTCTGGTTTATTTTTGGGAAGTAAATTTGTAACAATGGCCCATTCTCTTCCTTGAATGTCATCTGATGGCTTCATGGAATAGCTGATGCACTTTATCGTAGAAGATACTAAGAAATGACTGACAATATTGACTTCAGCCAGTATCAGTTGGATCAAAATAACATGAATTATATTGCATCAAATGAGAGAAATTGGCTGAGACAAAAGCAGATGGAATAGCTGATGCACTTTATCGTAGAAGGTACTAAAAAATGACTGACAAAAATATCGACTTCAGCTGGTATCAGTTGGATCAAAATAACATGAATTGTATTGCATCAAATGAGAGAAATTGGTTGAGACAAAAGCAAATGCTCAGGTTTTCTTGGTTTGTGTATTTAACTGTTATTGTCCCATTCAAAATAGTCAAACATGGAATAAGATTTGAAAGAGTTTCGGCAAATACATTATTAATTAACAAATTGCACCTCAGAGTGGGACAGTGCTGTGGGTAAGCATTGCAAAGCACTTTGATGGTTTTATTCACAGTGGGATAATCGTGATTTAGAGCAGGGTCTTTTATTTTCTTCACAGGACAAGGTAAATACAAGGGAACGGTGTGGGAGGAGGATTATACTGTATTCTATAAAAAGTACAATGTAGGTAATCAAAAGAAGTAATATGAAATTATCAATATGTTACCCATTTAGAGGATTACACAGCGCAATTATACAATTTTATTATTGTCATTTGCCATATCTTTACCTTAAAGAGAACATTATATTTTTTTAAAAAAAAAAAAAACTAATAAACTTTTTCTTTTATTAAAAAATAGGTCTTTTATATGGAGCAGTTGCTTTGTTGTGTACAAGCACTGATTGCAGTGTGCCAGGAAGACTGCAAAGAAATTAGCTTGCAGCTCCTGAAAGTTCTGGTGACCATAATGGCAACGCCGTCCTCCCAGCACCTTAAAGAAAAGGTAAACTACCAGCTGGCTTGGTACTTTGTTGCGTTTCTGATTTTTACTATTGATAAGACACTTTGTCTAAACAGAGCTGTAATTATTTGTCTTGCTATGGGGCTTAAACCACAGAAATCCTGAATTAAGAGCTCGTCCACAAAGAGTAGTAGAATTTGAAATGATCCTGTGTTGCGTGACCTTGCCTGTCCCCTCTGTCTGTCTCCTCTGAGAGCTGAGAGCACTTTGGGTTTAGGTTGTTTAAAACAGATCAAGGTAACTTCTCCGGAAGAATAAATCATTAAAATCTGATTTGTAGAGTAAGAACTTGTACAATACTACTTTTGTTTGGGGATTGAAAAGTGCTAGTTTCATAATCAACTTTTTTCTCTTTAGACAAAACTCAGATTGATTTTACAAAAGTTCACCTTCTAACCTCCCCACCAGAACCCAAAGTTTAAATGTCACAGGAATGCCTTAAAATCCAGGACATCTGCAGATGTCCCGATAATAGCTGGGCTTTTTGGCTAAACATTATCTCACCCCCTTATTTCTCTCCTCCTCTTTCCTCCCCAAGCTAAATATCAAATCGATGAGCAGCCCATCCCCATACACTACAATTGTCACCGGTCCCAGTTGTCATTTTTCAAACAAACACCTCAAATATGATGGCTTTTCTGCTCCTTCCCCCTGGCTCCCGGGAACAGATTTATGGCCCAGGGCTGACAGGCACATGCCTAGAAAACTGCTCTGAAAGAAGTCAAATAGAACAAAGCTCAAACCAAGTATTTGCTTGGAATAGTCTAAATGTAAATCAGAAGAAGGTATTTCAAATGGAACAGTGAGTTTTGGTACTTCTCCTCAGCAGCAGAAGTTGAGAATTTCAAAGTGAACCTGCCCAGCTCCTGTCAAGAGAGAGTGTCTGCTGTAATTAAAACTGGCCAGAAGGAAGAAGGGGCAGAGGGAAAATGCCAGATTTGCTGTTATGTTGTTATGACTTCATTTTGCAGCCGGGGCAATTGTTTCTCTTTGATTTCCAGTGAATGGATGTAGTATAGGCAGGCATTAAATATCAGTCTTGATTGTCCAAGCAGAAACTATGGAAATCTTCTTGTGTCCCTTCTGTTCTTCTGGTATAATTATTAGTTTTAAAAAGTTTGGGTTTTTTTCTTTTTTTTTTTACTATTGTTTCAGGTAAGATAAAGCTTCCTGTCTCTGTTTTAACAGGTGGAGGAAACAATGGCTTCATTAGCTGAAGTGCAGCACTTGGACAGTTTTCTGTGTCTCTACAAACAGCATATAATCCAGCTTCTGGACTGGGTTTCGGTGTCACCTGACAGTTGGACCTGCTATTCTCCAGAAATACTGCAGTTTGATGTCATCGCAACTCATTCAGGTACCACTTAGTTGGTAGTGGGGCGTTTAATCCTTCAATCTCAAAAAAAAAACAAACCCCAGCAACCCCATGTGCAGGACCCAGCAGAAGTACTTCTTCTTTTCTTCATCTGGGGACAGAAGAAAGAAGTTTTTTCAGTGCAAGATCTGCGGGGCCAACTTCTCTGTGTGTTTGTGCTCCCATTTCCAGGACTGAGGGGCTTCTAGAGAGCCCCTCTGTTTTCCTTAACGCTGAATAAATCATCCAAGGTCTGGGCAAACACTCTGGCTCACACCCAGCACGGGTAACGTGCTGTTGTCTGAGGTTTCTGTCTGACACAGCAGCTCTGCTTTGGCTTTGTTTTTTCTTTTCTTTTCATTCCCACACATAACGTTGTTTTTAATTAATTTAATCAGGTTTACTCACTTTGAACACTCACTCAGTGTTTTCTGGTTTTGGGGAAGGTATACTTAAGCTGAAATGAGCAACGTAGTTTATTTTGTTTATTTTCCATCTGTTGAATTTGCTGTTATCGGTTTGATGTAATAGTAGTATCTTTTAAATGTCTCCAAACTCACATGAAGCAGTGTATTGGGGATAAATGCTGTGAAAATAAAGACCTATTTGTTGGCCCAGAAATGGAGCAAACTGCAGTTCAACACCCTGGATCGCTTCAGTCTAGACAGTGAAGAGTTGAGGGGAGGGGAGTTTATTATTATTTTAAACATTAAATTTCCAGATATTATTAACTGCTGGTGAACTTGGTTTGGAATCTTGACTACTTCAATCTGTCCCTTCCATGTGTGAGGAATATTCTCGTCCCCAGAAATGCCAGTGATGTGGCTGCTGCTGGGGGGGTTTTCCCAGTGCCTGGGGGTGAGGGAACGTGCAGCACGAGGATGGGAAGCTGAAGAAGCTCCCAGAGGAAAGGAGTTTATTGCAAATATAGAGCAGAAAGTGTTCTCCAGCAAGCAGCTGGCAGAATAGGGTATGGGTATCACCTAGATGTGTTCTTCTTTAAAACCAGGCAGATGTTATCAAGCAGAAAGGCACAAATTTCCTTCTCTTTTGGGAAAATAATTTCTTCAAGTGTTGGGATAACAGCTTAGAATGTTTTTTTGTTTGTTTTCTTAGCAGTGAAAACAGAATTCATCGTAGGGTATGAAAATGTTAACAAACTGGAGAATTAATTTGGAAAATAGTTTTATTTCAAATAGTAGCTTCTAAAATTCATTGTATTTTAGATTCTCTTGTAAAATGCAAAGAAGCATGATTTGAACACGGAGAGAGAATGCTGCAGTAATTCTGTTACCCCAGTTTTGAGCTGAGCCTTTCCAACATGCCCTTTCCTGCGCCTCTGGGACTCACAGACATCCTCCTTCGGGTGCTGCACCCGGGAAAACTTGAAAGAATTAAAAAGCCTCGTTAGTGCTGCTGGTGGGAGAGGTGTGGTGGTACCAGCCCCAGTGCAATTCCTCATTTAGTTCAGTAACACCTGAGCTTTGTGCAGAGCCTGGAGCACAGACACAGCAGCAGCTCCACACAGGACTGGGAAGTTTAGTACCACTTTAATAGCAAGCATATTACAAATTTTAATGCACTCACACGTTAAACATCTAAATAGAACTTATCAGCGCTCTGAAATACATCTTAAACCTTCATTTTTTAGGTCCTGTCATAGGTGAAGCCCTGAACAACTTTATTCTCATCCTTAAGATGTGTCTTCAGCCACACAAAGATCCCCAGATGCGGTTAAAGCTCTTCACTCTTCTCTCGCAGTTGCTGCAGAAAGGGAACGAGAGCGTCAATTCTCAGGGGTAAGGAGAGTAATGACCGTGGTGGTTATTTCACCCCTGTAATTGTCTCCATGTTCTTACGTCTGGGAGAAGAAGGACTTTCCCACCATCTTCTACAGCATGATTTTCTTCTGGTATTTTTGGGCAGTGCTTAGGAGGGCAGGTGCGATAATTTAAAAAAATAGAAATAAATTGAAGTCTGAACTTCCTCCACTGCAGTCTTCCTGCCACTGCCACTGTGGGGAATTAAAGGCAATGCCATGCAGATCTGGGTAGTTTTCAAAAAATAAGGAGCTGTAGTTGAAAAGAATAACTGTTTGGAAGCTGAGATGGGGATTCTTAGGGGAGAAATCAGAGGCAGAAGTTGGATTTTGTGGGTTTTTTCCTTTTCCTCCCAGTCAACTCCTAAATCCTTAAACTTTGCATTCTGTATGTTGAACATTCATTCGGGTTCCGTGTGGCCGTCGTAGCCATCTATTTCTGTATGTTGAACATTCATTCGGGTTCCGTGTGGCCGTGGTAGCACGAACGTAGATGTATTTTTACCATTTTAAGGTATATTTAGTATATTCATGGCCCACATTTAATCATGGGGGGAGGAGGGGGAACGCTGGTGTTCCCTTCACCAGGGGTTCCAGGGAAGCTGAAGGATCTCTGCTGTCGTAGCCCTGGTGGAGTTTGAGCTCCTGCACTTAAGACAGACAATAAAGACACCGTCCTTTTTTAACTGAAAGCTTGTGTGTCCAGTGTGTTCCCTGTTTCCATATTTCCAGGACCCAATATTAAACTCCCTCTCTGTAGTCAGCGGGTTACTTGGTTAACTCCTGTAAGTGAGAGTAGTTACAAGATGGATCTGGATGTGTCCCGAAAGAGGGAAAGAAGAGCCAGTCAGGGCATTGTCTGAAGTGGGAGAAACATTCATGGCAAGGGGAGGCTGGGCTGAGGCATTTGTTTAAATATTATTGAGGAAAATTAAGCTGTGAAAATCTTACCACTTACATTATAATCACATTGGCTTATTGGATTTTATTTATTTATTTACACAATTTTTTTTTTTAACTTTTCTGCCTGCGTTTCTATGACAGAAAATTCCCTTTTACATCCTCTCAGTCTGTTGCTTTCTCGTGAAGCTTTATTTTGCTTTCTCCTTTTTGGCTGCAGGCTGTTCCCTGACCACCTGGAGACCGTGCTGAGGGACATCCTGGCTCCCAACCTGCAGTGGCACGCGGGGAGGACAGCAGCCGCCATCCGCACCGCCGCCGTCTCCTGCCTCTGGGCGCTCTGCCACCGGGACATCCTGCCCCCAGGAGAGGTAAACTCTGCTGCTCTCGTCAAACACACTGGGGAGTCTCGGGCAGGGACACAAAATAAATGCAGGAGAGGATAAATGTGACCTGGGGGTGTTCAGCCTGGAGAACAGGAGGCTGAGGGGAGACCTTCTTGCTGTCTAAACTCCCTGAAAGGAGGGTGTAGCCAGGGGGGGTCGGTCTCTTCTCCCAAGGAACAGGCGATGGGACAAGAGGAAACGGCCTCAAGTTGTGCCAGGGGAGGTTTAGGATGGATATTGGGAATAATTTCTTCCCTGAAAGGGTTGTAAAGCCTTGGAAGAGGCTGCCCAGGGCAGTGGTGGAGTCACCATCCCTGGAGGGATTTCAAAGCCGGGCAGATGTGGTGCTGAGGGACATGGGTCAGTGGTGGGTTTGTCAGTGGTGGGTTGATGGTTGGACTCCATGATCTGCAAGGTCCCTTCCAACCCAGACAGTTCTGTGATTCAGAAATTGTGGTCATTAAGGATTAAATGAATCTGAGGGGTATTTTTGCTAACAAAAGCAGCATTTGGAAATGATGCACTGGAAATATGTTAAATATAAGGGCAATTTTTGAAAATAAATGGACATTCTGTACGTGTCTTTGAATGTTTGTGGTGACATAATAATCCGAAGGGAACGCAGCGTGTGCTTTCAGGAGCGATGTGCAGTGTGTGACAGGGATCTGTCACCCATGCAACCATCGTTTCAGCGCTGAGAAAACAGGCTTTGTTTTCTGCAAGGCAGAAGATGACGTGGGTGTCCCCACACTCTCTGATGTTTGTGCTCCTTTCCAGAGCTCGTGAAGCGTCTGGACGATGCCTCGTGTGACGTGCGACTGGCAGCTGCTGGCGCCTTGGCCGCCTGGTTCCAGTGCCTGAGGGACAGTCCCCTCAGACCCTCCATGGAGACCCAGGTGGAGTATCTCTACCAAGAGCTGCTCATCCACCTCGACGACCCGGATGAGGACACCCAAAAGGCAGTCCTAGGTAAGCCTTTCAGCCATGTGTGTTCTTAACGATTTTTAAACGGTGTTTCCAAGCGTTAGATGAAAGCAGGTAATGATTTATCAAACACACTTTTGTTTTACAGAAGTTTTAAAAGAAGGAAGCGTGTTGTACCCGGAGGTGCTGGTGCGGGCAGTCGAAGGGGCCGCGCTCAAGCACCGCACCCCGGCCTATTGCCACCAGCTGCTGCGCCACGTCCGGGCGGGACAGGAGCCGGCTCCATGACCCTGGAATTCTCCTCAGGGAACTGGGCAGGGAAGGGGTCTCACCTGGATTCCTGCCCCGTTGGCACTGGCCTAAGAATGGCTGAGCAATAAATACCTAGGTTTTTCTTTGTAAGTTCACTATTAGCTCATTTCAAAGTCAGATTGGCACAATTCTGTGTTCTGTGCCATTTGGACAGTTCTTTGTCTTTGCCAGCAATAAAACAATGTTTTAATTCACATTGCATCAGAGCTTTTTCAGATACAAAGTTTAGAGGAGAACTGTTTTTCAGGAATTTGACGCTATTTATAATTGAGAAAGATAATTTATTTAACAAAGTAATGGTCTAATGTCAAAGTTATTCATGTAATTCAGCGAGGACTCCTCAATCTCTGGATGGTACTCAGTCTGTGAGGATCAGTTTTATCAGCAAAAAACCAGCCAAACATAATGCAGGGAGATTTTGGGTGTTTTGAGTCCTTGTACTTGGTGTGCGGGTACAACGGGGACACGCTCTGAGGAGCTGTCACTGAAGGAATAGTTTTTCTTGTCATTGTGTGACATTTCATGACTGAGATTAAAGGTAACCTTTTTTAAATGAAGGTTTAGGCACGGGAGGACATGTGCTGTTTTGTCATTTAGATTAACAGTATTTATATTTTTGTATTAAACACGTCACATCTCCAGTTTGTATGGTGATACCGTCGTGCCTTGGAAAGCAAGCAACACTTGTTTGCATGTTACTTTGAAATGAAATTAGGTTAAAGCTTGATTTATTGTTTTTTTTAAATGATCTGTGTAGTGTGTAAGTTTCAGCGTCGCCGCATTCTCAGCTGTGTAATAAAGCGAGAGCCCCTGGATTCCTGGCTGCCTCTTTGTGGCGGGTGCTACTTACTGCACACACGGAAAAGCAGGCTCCTGATTTCTATTTTTTGTTTTAGTTATCTGCATTATAGACAAAAAATGCTCTTTGGGTTCTGTCCCCAAGTGCCTTGGCTTTGTCTCCAGCGTGACAGCAGGCTCGGGGCGGGGGGCGGGTTGGAAACTCTCCTTGTGCTGCAGGCAGAGTCCTCGGGCCTCTCCTTTGGAGCTTTTCACCTTTTCATGGGTGTGACATCACCATTAACCAGACCCCGACTGGTCACAGAAACATTTGAGAGACTTCAAATACACGAGAGAAGTTGTTCCCAGCTTGACAGCAGAGTCACGCAGGCTCCTGGGCACTTCCCCGCAGGATAGTGGGTTGGCCTGAAAAATTCTGCCAAAAAAGGACAATATCACTAAAGACAGAATAACTGAGAAGTTTTGTCGTGATCCCAAAGCCACGGTGCAGTTCTATAGGACAGGATACTCAGTTTAGATCATACGTACTGTCTTTGAAGTTGTCTTTTCTTAAATAAAAAGCCACAATCTAACCATTGCTGTACTGAGCAGCTGACTATAACTATTAACTGTAAATCCCTGGCACTGGAGGCTCAGCTGAAGTTCTTAGAAGGTGTGACAGGAGTGAAATAAAAATCCCTGGAAGACACTGAATTGAGTGAGGAGGGTGTGGTGTCTCCAGCCTTAGATCTCCCAAAACCTGCCTGAGCCCCATCCTGGGAAACCAGCTCCACCTGCCTCTGTGTGGGAGGGATGGGATGGCTGTCCTCGGGGGGCTCCTCCGGCTGCGGCGACGCTGGGAAATGGTGTCCCTGCTCTAATCAATGATTGAAAAACCAATTTATCCAGACTGGGAGTAGACTTTGTAACCATCCTCACACAGCCCTCACAGGTTTTAGATTCTCTTCTTTACCACTGACTGCAGCCTCCTGAGAGCTGCAGTACAAATGTTGCGCGGTGCTTTTAATTGCTCGTGTCATTAAATTAACTCCTGTGATCTAAAGAAGAGAGATTTGAAAACCCAACTTCAAATGTGGGACAAGGGAAGGGGAGGGGAGGGAAGGGGACAGAACGGAACGGAATGGAACCTCCTTAGATAAAGTGAAATCTCGTCCAAGTTTTTCCAGATGCCCTGCAGCCGGGACACAGGCAGCATGAGCTGAAGGATTCCCCGAGCCTGGCACCCTCGGAGGCTGGGAAAATTATTTTCTGTGTTATGAGCATTTTGTTATCTCTCAGGACAGTCACTCCGCCGTGGGATGCCTCCCAAAGAAAAATCTCCGCATCCTCCAACAAAGCAGCTTTTGTCTCCAGAGCCAGGGGAGCTTTGTGACTGGATAATCGGTAACAGCAGCCTGATCCCCCTCACACCCGTGTGACACCTAGGTGTCCTCTGCCACCTCCTCCTGTTCCCAAGTGTTCTGCACACAGGACTTGAGCAATGGGCCAGCCCTGTGTAGAGTTTACTGCACTTCAACCTGTCCACCCAAATTCCTCCAGTCCCTTCATGAAGAAGTGCTACTGTCCAGTCTCCCGGGGCTGCTGTATCAGCCTGGGGTTTAAAGTTCCTTATTTTCCTTGAGACTCAGCTTTCTCAGCTTCAACCTGTTACTGTGACAGTAAAACACAATTGAAAGGTATGATTTGTTTCTGTTTTGCTAAAGCAGCCATTATGCGTACTGGATTTTAACGTGCATTCATATTCATTACGTAACTTCTAAGCCAGGAGAATTTTGGGGCCAAAGCAGTTATCTCGAACTTTCAGGCCCTTTAGATAAGCAGGCTCTGGCCCTGCCCTTCCTGTGACGAGCAGACACGCTTCTCCCTTCGCCCCCGTCAGCTCCGGGACCTGCTGTGGAGGATCCTGGGGCTCGGATTCTCAGCAAAAGAAAGTTTTGGGTAAGTGCACACATCTGTTTAACCGAGTCTAGAATCTTCTAAATACGTGGTGGCTCCCTTAAATAGAAGCAATTAATGAGCTATTGAGAGGGTGCCCTCATAAGTCAAACGAGGCACTTGGGGTTTGAGAGACAGCCCACACCAGCGAGCGTTCAGAGGAGAGCCTGGAGGTTACGTGTGTTCCCAGACCCACCCACTCCTCCTCCTCCTCCTCCCTGGCCACCTGCAGCTCTCAGGAGGGCTTTGGGCCGGTGGCCGACGGGCCAGCAGTGGCTGTCTCAGCCAAGCCCACCCAGAAGATGCCCCAAGGCAGCTGGGCTCTGCCCGGGGACCAGCTCCAGTTGTCCCTGGAAAGGTGTTACAACCTGTAACAACCCCCGGGAACTCCACTTTCACCTCTGCGTGTGGGACTTCAGCTGTTATAGTATAACAACTTCCCAGTTATAACTGGGAATAACCCGAAACAACTATACTGGTGTAGTATGTAGTGTAGTTTTACTATATACTAGTATAGTATATAATATAGCTTTACTATATAGTAAAACTATAGAATATATATAGCATATGCTATACTATTATAGCATAGTATAACAATTATATTTATGTTGCTATAAGTTATTTATTATTTACTATATTTAAGTGATACAGCAATAGCTACAGTTCCCTCTCTCTAGGTTTACTATATACTAGTATAGTATATAATATAACTTTACTACATAGTAAAACTATATAATATATATATAGCATATACTATACTGTTATGGCATAGTACAACAATTATATTTATGTTATTATACTATAAGTTATTTTATTTATTATTTACTATATTCAAGTGATACAGCAATAGGTACAGTTCCCTCTCTCTAGATTGGATCAGAGTTGGATGGGTGATTGCACAGACCTTATTGCCCTTGGGGGAAGCCCCTTCTCCACACACCACAGCGCTGTCCCAGGGGAGCAGGGACATCTCGGCCCCTGAGAATCAGCCACTGATTTGAGAGGAGCCAAATCCCTGTTTCCTTGGCCAGATCCATGGCAGGCTCGCTGCGTGGGAGGGTGAGCAAGGGCTGGCTGGCAGAGTGGACCAGAGCTGGTCCTGGGGGGCACATAATGGCCTGCTCTGGACCTCAGCCCTTCACGTGAACAGAACCATGTTTTTAAGAGACAGAAAGAAAATAAAGCAAAAAAATAATCATTATTAGGCAGTTGAATGATCCACAAAGATGCCAGTTAACAGGCTCCTCTCCATTTACTGAGCTCAATCCCCAGGGAGCTCCCAGCAGCAGTGTCTGGGGGAGGCAGCAGACGAGGGCTGTGAGGAGAGCGCCTGCTCCCCCGGCCCATCCTGTGTGTAATCGGCTTTTCTCGTTAAGGGCTGAAATCCCCTGTAAGTCAGGGCGATGGCAGCATCCCCTGGCAAACTGGAATTGAAGTGCTTTGCAGCCCCCCTTCCCCGTCACCTAATTGCTTCACCTAATTGCTCTGCGCCCACTGCCTCTGGCCGCCAGCACCAGACGGTGAGAAACTTTGTCTTGAATGAGCCAGAAATCAGATTTTCAGAGGCTTTAGACAATTTTCATACTAGTGCATGTAAATGATCATCTCCCCACCCATGGACATTAAGATCACCATGTTTCCTAACACTAAGGAATGATTCTGCAGCATCCCCTTCGCCCAGCACAACCTCCCCCCCTCATGCTGCCACTGTCCCCCCACCCCAAGCACTCCCCAGCCTGTGAAGCAGTGACCCCACACCCAGTGCTACCAGTCAGAAACACTCTGCTGCACTGGTTTTGGTCACACTTGCCCCCACTGGGCACCCTTACCTTTGTAGCTGCCAGCGAGGGCCAGGACGTGGAGCAGAACAGGTTTGCTCGGTGTGAGCACAGGAGCGCACTGGGAACGAGAGTGGGAATTGCACTGGGAAGGGAAGGAAGCAAAAATGTGAGAATCGCAGTGGGAAGGGATGGAAAGAAGGGGCAGGACCAGGGGGATGTGGACCTTGGACTGGTTTGGCCTCGTATTGCAGTTTCCCTCTACTGGGAGTCAGTTAAGAAAGCTTTTTTCCCTAAATTCTCAACTGCCCCCAAAGTGTTAAAAATCAAACATTTTTCATACAATCAATTTTTATTCTCATTGACAATTTTTCTACAAGACTTCAGCTTGGCCAATAAAATTAAGTGAGCCCACTTTACCTTCAGAGCTCATTGTTGGATGCTGAAAAACTTTGAAAGGATTTTTGTTCGCCTCAGAGCAGCTTTTTCTGAAATGTGGAAAAACTAACTCCCTAGATGTAACAGCTCCAAAGGCTCTGTTTCTCCTCGCAGCCGAGGAGCGGGGGGGAAGCTGAGTGTAAGCCTTCCTCCCCCGGCCACTTGGCCGGCTCCTGATGGAAAAACAATGGCTGGGGACAAGCCCGAGCAGGGCAGGAGCTGGAGCAGGGCCCGGGGAGCGGCTG